TCTTTGCAGGAGTAGCAGGTGAAGCATGCAAATAGGGGGTGTTTGCAGGTAAAACTGGGGTTATAGGTTTCTTCTCCCTCTCCCACCAAAGGCTGAAGTCCAAGTGCATATCATCAGATACCATTTCCCTAGAGTTCCAGCCAAACCAAAGGGGAGGGCTGGCCTGTGCTTTCATTATGGCCAATAGAAAGTAATTTTCAGCAACTGGAAAATTATATTGTCATAGATTACTTCTCCTTATAATAAGCCTTTAAAATATCTGCAGGGATTTGTCACATAAAGGTTTGAAAAACACATCAAAGGGACATGTCTCCTTTGCGATATGTAGAAATTCAAATGGTGTTAATCATAATAGCCACGTATCACAAACGTGTATTGTTCCCAAGATTGCCTCTTGGGTTAACACATTTTAAAAATGCTTGAAATGTTATATTTTGTAAAACAGTTAAAAACACATATTTAAAGATCTATTTAAATCCTTAATTTGTAAAAAAAAAAAAAAAGGACGTTTTCCTTGAGATTTCAATGTACTGGATAACTAAAGAAAACCTACACGGTGGATAATCATTGTATATTGCTTTGCTACTCAGGAGAACTTGCTAAAAATTCAGTGTATTTAAATTTGAAAAGGGTTGACTCTGAAAAGAGAAATTGGCTTGGAATGTTTTTAAACTTATGTCTGTTTACCTCAACTCTAGCAGTGGAAGTTTAGGGCACATTTATAACGAAACATTAAAACATGAAAGGTCCCCTTTACTCTTTTAGCCTTTTTAATAAATAATTTAGTGCAATTTTAAATGACCCTAAAACTCACCCGGGTTTTGCGCGCGGCTGCTGCATTCCTGTGTTTTGTGGGAATTTGTTTGTTTGTTTTGCAGTGGTTTGCACCGCGCAGAGTCCCCAGATACCTGATCAACGCGTGCAGAGCGTAGCCCGCGTGAGCTCCAGCGGCCCGCGAGGGGGTGCAGGCAGGCGCCCCCTGGACTCCAGGCAGCGCAGACAGGCCCCAGTCCTCGCCCTCCGCTCCGCCCCTCCCCTCCTGCCTCGCATCAGACAAAGGTGGATGAAGTTCTTTTCAAGTTTCAAAGGCAGTGGCTGGGCAGCTTTGCAGAAACAATAACTCTTTTATTGGGAACAAATGTTGACATTTGATGGGCGCGGGAGGCAGCGGCCGCCGGGCATGCGCTCCCGGTGCTCTGGGCAGCGCAGGGCCTCCTGGCCCACCTGAGATTAAAGCGCGAATTCCGATAAATCAGCTCTAATGAACCCCGGACTGCAGAGGGCAGAGGGGCCACGAAGCCCGGAGTGTGATCAGGCCAGCACCCAGCCGCTTGCGTGGCCCCGGTTCCCCGTGTGCCCGCCTCCGGGAACAAAACTGCACATGGCTGGCGACTATATTTTTAATTAACTAGATTTTAAAGCAAAAATAAAATTAGACCCCATTAATCCTTCCCCAATGAAAGATACCTCCTCACCCCCACCTCCCTTCATCTTAACTAAAGATCTGCATGGCAAAGAGCTCATAAATCACTCGGCATTTCTTTAAAAAGATCCCTCTAAACACCTGCAGGTTTTATGTTCTTAGTGTACATTTAAAAATCAAGTTCTCCAGGAAGAAATCCAGGTCAGGAGGCAGGGTGGGTAAGTTATGGAAATCTCTGATAATTTGTTGGGCATATAAACATCAAAGGGCTAATCTCCTGAGCTGCTTTGAGTTTTCACCAATTGAAAGGTGCAGTTGTCCCTGAGAATGGGGTCTGTCTGGGGTGTGTGCCTGTGTGGGGGGATGTATCACATGTCCAGGTAACACAATCTTCTGCTCCAAAGGGAGGCAGCTTTTATCCAGGCTTCAATTTCTGAACATATGCACGGAGATCAATTTTTGCTGGGGTTTTCTACTCGCACTCTCCACACTTTAGGAGATGGAGTGTCTCCAGTGCTGCATCTTAATGAGGCTGTATGGTCTTTCAGCGTTTAATTTGTTAAATATTGTTAACTTTCATCCTTTTCACTGAAGTCTTCAAAATACTCAACTTAGAATATTACATAAAACAGAGATATTGCCGCCGTGTGTGTTGTATTCCCCGCTGATTTAGGAAAGATGGCTAATATTAATAAAAGCCAACAGACTTATCAGCTTCATACTGTAATCTAAAAATGCTATCTGCTGGGCGGGGGTGGGGGGGGAATCATTATCTTCACAGAAATTCTATGAGGTTTTATGTCTCAAACAAAAACAAGCAAAGACGCTCCCAGCAGCTCCCTGTAACTTCCACAGATGGGCATTTGTTTTCCTCAGACACACTGCCCCAGTGGCCAGGCGCCCATGTGAACAACCCTCCTGTCCCTGAGAGAGAGCTCAGCTCTAAACCTCTCCTCATCTATTACTAGGGGAGGCAGGAAGGAGAGAAAAAGAGTTCTGGACCCCAAATATTCACTTTAAGTCTAACCTCCAAATGGTTACATATCCAAAGCCAACAAAATGCCTAAGAAGTCACAGAAAACCGAAAACTGAATCTGCTCCTTTCCTCCACAAACCACAACCGCTCCTCCCACGGCCCAGTCAGAGTCCAGTTCACAGCCTCCTAGCTTTGCCTCAAGTACCCAAGATTACTTTCAAATACCCTTTCTAACAAGACCCCAGCAAGAGGCCACTAATTTCTACAGCACAAAAAGCCACTGGAGAGAGATCCGTTTGTCAATATCAAGCGGTCCAGCAATTTCCCATCCTCAGACACATGGGCCTATCTGAGCTGGCAGATGTTTAGACAAGATTTTATAAATTGTTCAATATCAGCCCATAATGAACCCCAACTGACCATTCCAAAGCAGCTAAAAGCACCCGGGACGTCCCCCGCTGGGATGCAATAATGTGCTCATGCTGCAGCATTATTAATCACGGAATAAAATAGATGAACCTCTTGAAAAATAAGTGTATGATTGATTAAAGGGCAATCTGAGGAGCTATTATTCTTGTTTTATAACCGTAAGTTATATTCACTCAATTTATCTTTGCAGAGGAAATAAATGATTGTTCATTTCTTTTCTGAAATTATATTATATGGATATCCATATAATTTTGCTGAAAATTAAAGTGACAGGTTTCCTGCTTTTATGATACTAATCAAAGGAAATATGTTACTTGCCTACAAATTCTAGACTTGTCCTATAATTAGATAGTGAGTAACACAATAATGAGGCAATAGTCTAAGGGTGTTTAAGCTTTTCTTTTCCCCCAGGGTAAGGGTAAGAGCCACTGAGAGGAAAATAAATCTCTCCTCCCAGTTTTCGCCTTGTGTTTAATGTGAGTTATACGAAAAGGAGAGTGAAGAAGTCATTCAATAAATCTGAATAATCTATGCCAATTTGGATAATTTCGGCTTTAAAGTTATTTAAAATAAATAATCATTTCCATCAGTAATTTATGGTGGGGTGTAACTCTTTATTATCCATGTTACCACAATTTTCCAGTTTACTTTACTGAGGAGGTAATAAATAAATATTAAATGGATCCTAAAGCACAGGGATGTCAGGTCATTTTATTTTGCCAAGCTTAAAAAATATTTACACTAACAAGTATTTTGCATATTCAGGGCACAAAATTTTAATTTCCTTGCAATACATGTGTATATAAATAACCTAAAAATCACAGATATCTCCCTACTGCTTATTTCTCTTCCATCTGCCTTTTTTTTTATGAGCAGAAAGGGGAGGTTATTTTACACATTATCTTTAAAAAGCCTGAGGTCAGATCACCTGGGGTGGGGACTGCTGTCACTGCTATCCCTGGGGCTCTCTACCCAAAGCACTCTTTTAAGAAAAAGGAGCCCCAAACACTATGTTGCTGTAGTCTAGTCTGTTTTTATTTACAATTTAAGATATAAATTAGTAAAGAATTATTGTTAAACAACCAACAAAGATTGTATAACCAGCAATGTTCAAATAAAAACCAGGCAGAATTTATTTACAAAAAGTTTAGATTCCATTGCAATACAACTTGCATAAATTACTAGAAGCTTTATATCATTATAAAAATAAATATCAAATTTGTTTCCACTTTTTAAGTACTCAAGTTCTTCAATCACGTTTTATTTCTACTGTGTACATCTTTTACAAATAAATTTTACAGTAAATCCTATCACACCTATAGCATATATACCGTGGCAATGAAGTGATCAATTCAAGATATCCTGAGAAAAAAGATTGTTTTCAAAAGTCACACATACATTGGGGAAGCTATACTATGCCAACAAATTCACGTCTATCCAACAAAAGTCTGTTCGGTTCGGTTAGTCTGAGTTGACAGTGCTCTGCGGCTCCTTCCTTTACAGTGGCACAAGATGCGGTCCGGGTGAGCGCGGCTTTTTACGTCTGTGTATTTATGAACTTGGGAAAAAAGAATGGCCTGCTGACTTTTTTTTTTCCAAAGCAATTGTGACACCTACCTGTGGACCAAGGAAAAAACCAAATCATCCCAAATCTTTCAGTTTCACACCAACATCATCACATTATAAAAAGGAGTCATCTGAAAGGGTTCAGCCTCTTTCCCACCTTTAAGAAGTGAAATAAGTAATTTTGCCTATTTGTAAAATAGGTATTTTTTTAAACTGCTGTGAGCCAGAGGATCTGCAGGGTCCTATTGAGTCCATCTGGACTCGGGGGGATGGGCCTGATAACAGAGGAGTGCTTCTTGTCTCTCAGTCTTACTATGCAAACATCATCTAGAAAGGTTTCTGATACCAAGTTTCAGTAACACTAGCTCATCAAAGCAAGTGTCTATTCCATGTCTAGTGGAGCAAAAGCACTCCATATTGCACACAAATTCCCAGATTGAGAAATAAGAGAGAGAGAGAGAGAGAGAGAGAGAGAGATTCTTCAAAGCAGAACTTGAGCAAAAAAAGAGGGACACTATAAAAGAGAACAACTCCTCTCCCACTTAAAGGAAAAAAAGACCACGAAGATTGCAATGCTGTCTTCAGACCCCATGACAAGAAGCAAGAAATAGACATTAAGCAAGTTTTCAGAGCAATTGGTGCAGGGAGGCTCCCCCAGGGTGGGCAGAAACACCAGGGGGCCCACTTACTTGTATTGCTGTACACACGGCCCTTCTATAGGTAGGACTGGATGCCCCCACCAACCACGGTGCAGCCCTCACTGGCATCTGTCAGGGGAGGGGGCAGTTAGTCAGAACCAACCCCTTAGCCATCTATCTCCCAGACAGCAGCACAGCCACCAGCCCGCACACCCAGGAAGCCTGCTCCCTGTATGGGGCCAACAGTAAGAGGAACCTGAGTGTCCACCACCACTGTGTCAGAGGCAGATTTTGGTCACATTTCTGAGTTCTCATTTTTTTTTACCCCCTTGAGCTCCTTTTACAGGTCTTATCAGCTCAAGTCTGAATTATGAGCAACAGAGGCAATATAGAGAAAGGGAGAGGAAGGAATAAGGCTCCGGTTTTCTATTTTGAAGAACTAAGGCCTCTGGGAATAACTGGAACATTTTGCTTCCTTCCAGCCAAAGGCAGAAGGAGAGACTATTAACAACAGAACACACCAAAGCCGAAGCTCAGTGGCGGGGAGACAAACTACAATTCGAATTTCGTGACAGTCTGTGCTTGACAAACTAAAACTAGCTGCCCTGGCCATCATAATAAATAAATAAATAGTAAATAATAATGAGATGGGTCTCATTATGGATCACTTGGCCCTTCCCACCTCTTTTTGGAGTCATTACCCCCGCCCCCCTTCACTTCTCCTAACTTTTAGTCTAAGTGTGGTGCATTCTGTGTTTTTCCTTTCTCTTCTAAGTGACAAAGGTTCCCCCTGCACATCCACAGGTCTCCCAGCCCCTTCCCCGGTCCCTTGGGAGTGCTGACTATCCGGGCCCTGCTGGCTGTCCCTCCCAGAGGACCCGTGGCCCCAGCAGCCTACCTTTCTTGGGCTCATAGCTGCCGCCCGGGGGCCGGTAATGGGACTCCAGCGGATGCGTGCCTGCCTTGCCCGCGTC